GGAATGGACGGGCCAGACCTTCAAAGAGGCATTGGGAGTGCTAGGGCCCTCTGCCCCACGCATACACGTTCTCTAGAGGAGGTGGAGTCTTGAGAGTTCAAAAGGGTGTTCGTGTTGTATTGTAGGGGCGAAAAAGGCCTTAGTTATACATCTTGCAAGGTTGGATAGAATTTGTGAAGAAAAGTCAACATAGATTTTAGTACCATGGTGGAGATTCAGTTTGGTACTATATCTTTGGGATTTGATTTGTGGTCTATATTGAAGAATGCTACTTAGTCGAGTGTGGATGATATGGATAATTTTGCTTTGCCACCATTACCTGTAGTTCCATCATATTCAACTGCTAGGGATAGAATCATTGAAGATAGGTATGAGGATGCTGATTCGGTTGCACACGATTTTAGCGTTTTTGAAGGTGTTGATACTAGTCAGGGCCTTCTATGAAAGTATTAGAAGTTGATTATGCTACAGGGTGTACTTTGAAACTGTTTGATAATTTCTAATTCTTTGTGAATTTTGGGGAACCCAGTGTTTGGGTTTATGTATCCATGTTAGATATCATGGAAGATGAAGAATATTTGTGTTGGAAAAAGTTTGGTTCTTGTTGAAGAGTTCGATTTTTTTCGTTGCAGTCGAATTTATTTTTTCAGTTGGAAAAATCTTGGAACTTCGTTCGTTGCATCGGAATTTGTGTCAGATGGAGATTGTTGAATTTTTTTTACCTAAATTAGATTGGATTTTTTTTGAGAAAATGTTTTTTTCCTTTTTCGCAGGGTTTTTATTGGAAAAATATTGGGACGTATATTGTTTCCTATATTCCACGTGATTTTTGATCTTGTTTCTATCTTTGTGGTATTCCTATGGTTTGATATTCACCATTATAAATACTAGACTATTTTCACAAGTTTTGTATTATTGAAATATAGAATAATTGTGTAGGCACGGTTATTGTATATATATTTTTTTCCATATTAGTCAATTGAATAAAATACTCAATTTCTCTGCCATTAAATTATTTTGTCTTTTATCTTATTATTTGTTTGTGATCATAAATATTATATCATATATATTAAGTCGATCCGTTTTATTTCTCAACAATTAGTATCAAAGATTAGTTGAAAAATTTCGTGGGTTCCCGCAGGCAGCGTGGAAGAAACTGTACAGCGGGACCACAACTGAGTAGGTGGGCCCTCTCCTTCAAAGCTAAAGTTCCAAGTTTCCAATGACTTTCTGTAAAGATTTCATAGGGGGCTAGCTTTAAAAGCAGCCTATTTATTATGTTGCTGTTAATGGGGTAATTAACAAGATCTTTTTGCTAACTTCACAAAGCTTACCTTCACCCAAGAAAGCAAGGCTAAGAATATACACAATGAATGTCTCAATTAATATGCTAAACGGGACCGAGAAAACTTCTAGTGGAACCGTGAAATGTGTGGGTGGGATCAAAATAATTATTGACTATTAATTTTGTAGGACTAGCTATCAATAAATGTGTC